GTGGCGAATCGAGAGTTTTCGTGGGAATGGACAAATCTCCGAAGCAAGTACGAAGAGAAATGCAAACAAAAGCCATGGCTGCTGCGGTGCGAGAGCATTTTCCAAGCCTTCGGACTCGGCATGATCGCCAACGTGGAGTTGTGTTCCTGGATGGTTCCCCTTGCGTGCAGGTGCAGGCGGGGAATGAGAGAGATGATTGCGCACGTCTTTTAAGGAACTATTCCCTCGTACAAAAGCACTCTGTCAATAAGGATGAGCTCACGGCTGCGTTCAATAACAAGTTCCACACGGAGGAGAGAGTTCAGTGGCAAATTTAGCAGGACTCTTAACACATGGCATGAACATATTCGTGAGCGGCCGCTGCAGGAGATCAAGTTTGTGACGTGGAACACCCGCGCTCTCCTCCACCATAGGCCAGACGTTCGACGTAAGAAGGCTGCCAAGCTCAAATTGTTCTGCAGAGGTGCTGGAGCTGTGGCGTTACAAGAGGTGCATGGGTGCATGGGTCTCGGCCAGACATGCTCAGGCTCCTCTATGACCTCCAGATCAAGGAGGCGTGCTTCTCCTCACTGCACTCGCACGATGCTCGTGGTGTGGTCACGCTGACTCCGCAGATGACACAGGCTGAAGCTGATGATGCGATTCGAGAGGAAAGGATAAGAGTATCTGAGCTGGTCCCTGGCAGAGTATTGAGGGTGGCGATCAGGGCTCGCGCGGATGATGAGCGTCCTGACACCATGCTGGTGATATATAATGTGCGCAACGTTGGCCTCACGGCTCAGCAAGTATCTTCTATTTCAGCTCGCATCTCGGCGGAGGCGGAGCAAGCGGCACTGCAGCCGCATAAGATGACTGTGGCTGCCATGGGGGACTTCAACTACACGGAGACGGCCCCGATGCACTTGCACGTGCCAGAGATCGACAAGGGGCTGATCATCCCTCCGAGGCATAGGGGGCATGCTGATATATGGGCTGCCGCAATGAGCGAGATGACGGAGTTACACCCAGCGGCGCCGACTCACTACATTCATGATGATCAACGACTTTCACAGCTGGACAAAGTGATGATAAGCACAGCAGGATGGTTACTACTACAATGGTCGATCAGCGCCACGGTCATGCAGTATCCTGGGGACCTCTTTAAGTAGGGGGTGTCCGACCATGCGCCGCTGCGCATCACCTTCGGCTCGCGCCCGCAGAAGGCGGTGGAGGACCAGGCGGTGCGGCGCTTCGTGTGTCAGGCTCCTGAGTACAAACAATATCTCAATCTCCTCCTTCAGCACTCGGATCTGTTGAAACTGCCGACGATTGCGAAGTGGGCCGAGTACAGACGCCGGCTGAGAGAAGCGGCCCGACTGACCAGGAATATGCTTGTGAGTGCTAAAACGCCCCCGTTGGAAGCCAAGATGATCATTCCCAGATCGATTTCGAGGGCTGTACATTTTAACCTTGTAAATCTGGCTCGGACCCTCCTTGCGACCACGACGGTTGCGTCGGAGTTCTTGGAGATTTCGGAGGACAATATTGTTTCGCTTTCCTGGCCTATGAATTTTGGGAGGCAGTGTGAGCAGTTTCAGCGTGATCTTGTGGAGGACCGCGTGAACCGTGCAGAAACTGCCCTGAAGGACTCCTCGGTTTATGCTGAGAAGAAAAGAATTCGAGCGTACGTCAGAGCTGAGAGGAGGCGAGCCAAGATGTGGGCTCCGAAGGGTAAATCGTTGCCGCTTCAGGCTGTGGTCGACCCTGCGCGTGATGAGGCCCTTGTGTCCTCTACGGAGATGACGTCTGCCCTTCGGTCTCACTGGGCCCTTGTTTTTGCCCCCCGCTCGACGTCGCAGAGGCATCTTGACCAATGCCTTGACAAGCGTGTGCATGTCTTTGACTGGCCATTGGCTGCACCGCCATCGATGGGGTCGATAGAGCACGTGACCCACGGTGCGAAACCCACGGCTCCTGGGCCTGATGGTCTTCCGTACGCAGCATGGCAGCAGCCCTCGCTATCGCAAGAAATCCTATATGAGCTAATGCTTGAGTTACCCGCTGGTTTCCCCCCTCCTGTCTCCCTCAACGACCTCCTCCTCATATTTCCACCTAAGGGTCGTGCAGAGCGGGATAGTACCTTTGACATGCTATCCCCGCAGAATACACGCCCTCTTGCCTTGAAGAACACAGATGTAACTATTATATCATCAGCATGCAATCATCGCATCAAAGGATCGATTGCTGCACAAGCCCACAAGGACCAGAGAGGGTTCTTGCCTGGCAGGAACTTTCTGGACAATGTAGTGCTTCTGGACTCTGAAGCGCGCATGTCTGGGATGCACCCATAAGCTGCGAGCGGAGTGCCCTCCCTCCTCTTCCTCGACTTTGGCTGCGCCTTCCCTTCCCTTCCCCACCAGTTCCTGTGGGCTGTGCTTGCCAAATCAGGTTTCCCAGAAGGTTTTCTGTGCTTGACCCAAGCGACCTACGCGCTTGCTGCGGCAAGGGCATCCCTGCTTGGCTCCCTCCAGGCGTTTTGCATCATCACCTCAGGTATCATGCAGGGTGCCCCTGACTCAGGATCGCTCTGAGCTCTTATCATGGACCCCGTGATCAGAGACATGCGCAAAAGGCTGAAGAAACACCCTGGGTCGGCTGTGGGGGTGTGTGCGGACGACGTGGGGGCTCTTGTGGGTGACATTCGGGCCCTTGCGCGTTTCTCTGTTTTTTTTATGCGGCAGAATTTTTGGCAGGATTAAAACTCAAGATTCCGAAGTGTAGGTTAGTTCCTGTCCACCAAGCCTTTAGCGAGGCGCTCAGATCCCAGGTAGCGGCTGCTCTTGCGGGGAGTGCCCCGAGGTGGAGCGGCATCCCCATTGTGGGAAGCGCAGAGTATTTAGGCGTGTGGCTTGGTCCTGAGGCGAAGGAGGAGGCGTGGGCGAGGGCGTTTCGGGAGTGGGTGGGAGTCATGCGAAGCCTTGCTGAGACCACAGCCCCGCCCTCGATCAATATCACTATGTACAATAGTAGGGCTGCCACGAAGTTGGGATATCTGGCGCAGTTGTTTCCGATCCCCGAGTCCATTTTAAAGTGGGAATCTTGGGCACTCCATCAGGTTTTGAGGATGCCCCCTTTCTCATGGCCACTTGACCAGCTGTTAGCCCTTAGGCAGTGGAGTAAGCCCAGGCCCCTCTCGATGCGTGTTCAACGCGCTGCTGCCCTCGTCAGATCTGCCCGCGTCACAGTCACCAATTTGAAGCCCTTGTGGGCGAAAGTACGTGCTGAGGCTGAGAGGGCTATCCCTATGACCCAGTACCTTGGTGGCTCGTGGAGCCCAACTTTCTGGAAGAATGCTCCGGTTGCCCAGGTTCTGGCAGAGGCTGCTTCGGGTTTTCCAGGCTCTGCCCGCTGGCGGGCTCCGATGGCGGCCGCGCTCAAAATTTTTGAAAGAAGCGATGTCGGAGAATCCGAGGGCTCCTGTACAAAAGACGCTGGCCCGATCGCTGGCTAGCTCACTTTTTCAGGAAAATCTGGCCCCAACCATTTTTAAGCGCCTGGTGAAGTGGGCTTCCCGCCCCCCCTCGAAGCGTGCGCTAGCGGGATGCGACTGGCCTGCGATGAGAGACGCAGTAGCCAAGCTCCCACCTGCATGGCAGGCATCAGTTCTCAAAACGGTGGTGGGTGTGTGGACGACGGAGCGGAGGATGACTCAGACTGATGCGCCCTGCAAATTCGGGTGCACGGATGCCGTCGACTCCCAGTCCCACTATCTCATGTGCCCAGCTTTGTGGGTTGCCATATCTATTGCGTGGCACCCTGAAGTACCAGTCGAAGGATTATTGGATGCTCGACTTGGCCTGGCTCTCTCCCTGTCCACTGAGAGGAGAGCCATGGCCCTGCAGAGACTGGTACTTGCTTTTTAAATGCATAATTCAGTTAAGGGACTGGGGGGGGGACGGTTGGTGATGCAGAGATTACAATTCATGCCCGCGCTGCCAGAGCGCAGATGGTGCAACAAATGAGAGAGATGGACTAAGGCATACGACGCTTCATCCGAGCTACGTGCGAGGAGGAGGAGGAGGAAGAGGAGGAGGAGGAGAAGGAAGAGGAGGAGGAGGAGGAGGAAGAGGAGGAGGAGAAGGAGGAGGAGGAGGAGTTGGAGGAGAAGGAGGAGGAGGAGGAGGAGGAGGAGGAGGAGGAGGAGGAGGAGGAGGAGGAGGAGGAGGAGTGGAGGAGGAGGAGGGGAGGAGGAGGAGGAGGAGGGGAGGAGGAGGAGGAGGACGAGGACGAGGAGGAGAGGGGAGGAGGAAGAGGGGGGGGGAGGAGGAGCAGGAGGAGGAGGAGGAGGAGGGCGGGAGGAAGGGGAGGAGGAGGAGGAGGAGGAGGAGGAGGAGGAGGAGAAGGAGGGGGGAGTCGCGCGCAGATCATCAAGGACAAGCACACGCACCGACACACTTTGAGCCGGCGGCGCAGAGGAGCCTCAGGCGCGGTCGGCAGGCGGAGGTGCCAATGGCGAGCGAACTTCGTCGAACGCGCCATGATGAACGAATGGATCCACGGCCATGCAGATCGGTGGCGGGAAAAATGAGGCACGGCAAGGCCAACATGCAGCGGCCAAGGGCACCAGCACACACGCACAGACACATGTGCGCATGCTCGCGTGAAAGCACGGCCCTCGCCCGTTGCCGTGGGCCGGGTTCCGCAGGCAGGTTGTCCTGGTGGACGGGCCCACCAGCGGTGAGTGAGCTGAGGAGCGCGGCGGCGTCCCGCGTCCTCCCTGCCAGGGAGATGGGTCCCCTTCTCCTCCAACCTCCTCCTCCTCCTCCTCCTCCTCCTCCTCCTCCTCCTCCTCCTCCTCCTCCTCCTCCTCCTCCTATCGCCCTCCTTCTCGCGTCCCCCAGGGTACCCGAACCCTTACTCTCGCCCTCCTAATCTCCTCCTCCTCCTCCCTGCCCCCTGGAGCTGCGTTTGACCGCCTCGGCCGCTTGCGCACCCAGGCCGCCAGAGCAGAGGTCGCCCGCATGTGGGACGAGTCCTTCAGAAGGGTGGGCTTCGCGCTCATCGAGGGCCACGGCGTGCCAGAGGACTCTATCAGCTAGTGGAGGGAGGAGGCGGGCAAGGAGGATGAGGGGCCGTTTTTTCTCTTCATCTCTCCCTCTCTGACTTCCTCTACTCTCTCTGACTTTCTCTCTCTCTCTCTCTCTCTCTCTCTCTCCCTGTGTCTCCTTTTTCTCCCTTGCAGGGAATTCGTGGGCGCACTCGCTTCTGCCAGGGCTTCGCGGCAGCCCTCTGGCCGCCCCGACGCGGAAGAGCAGAAGATGAACAGGAGTATCCTCGAGCCGCGATGGTGGCTTCTCCGCCGTCGTCCCAGCGTTGGTGCGCATGCACCTTCCACGCGCTGCCGCGGACGCTGGCGCCCGTGTCTCATCTCCTTTTGGGGCTCCCAAGATGGCGCGGTGACAGACAGCGCGGTGACGTGGGAGTTCCCCAAGACCCCGCCGCACGGTCCGCCACCGCGCCGTGTTTGGACCCTGGGTGCCCCAGCCGCCCGAGACGCCCTCGCAGAGCGGCCCAAGGCCCAAGACCGTGCGGTGCCCTCGAATGCCCAAGTGACTCACCCACCACACGGTTCGGCCACCGAAGCGTGCCCAGACACCCTCCGATAATGCTTTGTCCAATCCGCGGGCCCAGTGCTCCCGAACCCTTCCTCAAGGGCCCTGGCATCGCTCGGATGTGTGCATTTTTTCTCGGCGAGAACCATCGAGGAGCATCCTTGATCATTTGGCGAAAAAGCCACGCACGAAACCGAAGAAAACACAGGGAATGGACGTCCGAGCGATGGCGAGGGGCAGGCGTTCGCCCCCGCTCCGTTCGTGGCGGCCCCCGGGCCCAAAAGCACGGGCCCCGGGGAGCCACAGCCGAGCACGATGCGCCCGGGCGGCACACGCAGATCGACTGTGAAATCTGGGGCCGCGGACCTCGGCGTCGGCGACTCGCCTCGTCTCCCCCAGGCGCTCCGAGGGCGGGTGATGCTGGATTTGAAGGCGGGCCGCTGGAGGAGGAGGAGGAGGAGGAGGAGGAGGAGGTGGTGGAGGAGGAGGAGGAGGAGGAGGAGGACCCTGGGCCGCCTCCAGCGCAACACCAGTTGCCGCTTCGGTGCCTGCCAGGAAGGGCCCTCTCCCGCTCTGCCGCTCCTCCGCCCCCCGTTAACTGCCTGGGCGCGCGCGCGCCAGGTTCCTGTGCGCAGCTCCCGTGACGTTCGGGCCGGTGCTGGCGAACCCGGACCCCCGACGTCATGATTTTAGTCATGGCGTCGACCCCCAGAGGTCTCGGCCCCTGGATCGGTTTCTCGTCCTGATCGTGCTCTGGCGGCCCCGAGGCCCGGCAAGGGCCCCCCGAGGCCGAAGACGGCGACAAACCTCTCCCGTCCTGCTTCTTGTGCACGGCGCGGGCGCGGTTCTGGACGAGGAGGAGGAGAAGGAGGAGGAGGAGGAGGAGGAGGAGGAGGAGGAGGAGTTGGAGGGGGAGGAGGAGGAGGAGGAGGAGGAGGAGGAGGAGGAGGAGGAGGGAGGAGGAGGAGGAGGAGGAGGAGGAGGAGGCCGCCCCCGAGGGCGCGGCGCCCCGCGGGGGGGGGGGCCCGCAGGATCGGTCAGTATAGGGGCCTCCCCCCCCCACGCGACAGGGAAGAGACCCCGGCCAGGCCAGGCGGAGCTCGGCCCGCCTGCCGAGCTTCGCCTGGCCGTGAGCTTCGGGGGCGGAGAAGAGGGGGGTGATGCCTAGGGGGGGGGAGGGATATCATGGCGTGGGCCATGATAGTTCCCCTGATCCCATGGCGCCTCTTCTTATCTCGTTGCGTCCCTGCCCCCCCCCCCGCTGGGCCGCGCACATGCCGCCGGCCATGATTTGCACCCCCCCCTCTCGTGGACCCCCCCCTCTTGGCCGCTCCCGACAGTGCAGCCTGGCCGAGTCCTTACCTGGCCGCCTTCTGGCTGCCTCGGGGGCCGCCCGCGGCCTCCCTCGGCGGCGGCAGGGCGGCAGCCCTGTGCCCCCTCGCCGCGCGTGCCGTGGGCGGCGCGCGCAGGAGGCGCGCGCGGAGGCTCGCCGGGGGGGGGGGGGGGAGGGTCTTCGGCGGGCCCTATGGGAACGACAGGGCCATTTTGCCGTTTGGCCGTTTTGCCGTTTTTGAAGTGGCCGTTTGGCCGTTTTTGTCGTTTTTGTCGTTTTTGTTGCCGTGCACCGGTTCGCCGGTTCCGTCTTGCGGGCGGGTCCTCGGCGGGCCCTGGAAACGACAGGGCCAGTTTGCCGTTTTTGGCCGTTTTGCCGTTTTTGAAGTTGCTTTGCCGTTCGCCGGTTCAGCGGTTCCGTTTTGCGGGCGGGTCCCCAGCGGGCCCTGGGAACGACAGGGCCGTTTTGCCGTTTTGCCGTTTTGCCGTTGATTTGCCGTTGATTTTGCCGTTCGCCGGTTCGCCGGTTCCGTTTTGCGGGCGGGTCCTCGGCGGGCCCGGGCCTATGGAAACGACAGGGCTGTTTTGCCGTTGTCTTGCCGTTGTGCCGTTGTTGTCGTCGCTTTGCCGTGCGCCGGTTCGCCGGTTCCGTTTTGCGGGCGGGTCCTCGGCGGGCCCTGGAAACGACAGGGCCGTTTTGCCGTTTTTGGCCGTTTTGCTGTTTTTGAAGTTGCTTTGCCGTTCGCCGGTTCAGCGGTTCCGTTTTGCGGGCGGGTCCCCAGCGGGCCCTGGGAACGACAGGGCCGTTTTGCCGTTTGGCCGTTGTTGTCGTTGATTTTGCCGTGCACCGGTTCACCGGTTCCGCTTTGCGGGCGGGTCCTCAGCGGGCCTTGGAAACGACAGGACCGTTTTGCCGTTTCGCCGTTCATCGGTTCCGTTTTGCCGTTTTTGTTGCCGGTTCCGACGCTGCTTTGTTGTCGGTTCCGGAGCCGTTGTTTCACAGATTCCGGTTCTGGTTCCAATCTTGAAGCTGTTTTTTTGCAGTTTCCGGTCGCAGTTTTTTCGCCTATTCCGTTTTCACGAGACACTTTTTCGACAACGATGGAAAAAGATCCCTGCCGCTTCCGAGGCCCACTCGGGGCGGGTCCTGCGGGCAACGGGTCCCGAGGTTGTTCGCCGTTGTCGGGCCCTCGGGGCCCTCCACTCAGAGGAGGAAAGGGTACCCGTGCCTCTACCTCTCCCTTCTTGTCCCCTTTTTGGGCCCCACCGTTGGATTCGCCTCGGAATCCTGGTCAGGACGCACCCCGGGAGAGGTCCGGGGAGACTGCAGCGGCATCGGTAACCTTTTGGTCTCCCTCTCCACGGGCCCCAGGATTGCAAGAGCACGACTCGGGAGGAAGCAGTGCGGGGGTGGGGGCCCTATGCGTTGCAGGCTCCCAGGGCGTGGCAGGCGTGGCATTTCCTCGACGCCACAGGGGGTGCGCTGGGGGTGGGGGCCCTCTGCGTTGCAGGCTCCCAGGGCGTGGCAGGCGTGGCATTTCCTCGACGCCACAGGGGGTGCCCTGGGGGTGGGGGCCCTATGCGTTGCAGGCTCCCAGGGCGTGGCAGGCGTGGCATTGCCCCGGTCCTGGGGGGAAGGCCCTGGGGTCCGGGGAGGGGCCGTTTTCGAAGGGGCCCGAGTCCCCCGTGGCGGAGCGGAGGCGTCGTGGCGGGCCGCTCTCAGGGGGCGCGCTGGGAGGCCCGCCCGGGCGCGCCGGACTGCTTGGGTGCACGCTGCCGGGCTGCGAGCGCCGCGAACCCGGCCTTCCCGCCCTCTTGCTTCGCCCTTTTTTCTTGCTTCTCTGCCACAGGGCTTCGCTGGATGTCTGTTCTTGGTGGTTTAGTGTCTGTTTTTTGTGAAAGAGTGCTTTGCCGCAGTCCCCCCCCAACCAAAAAACTTGTGGAACGGGCAGCTCGGCAGAAAAGGCAGGGATTTTTGGAAGCGTGAGGGTGCAAGCGTCCCGGGATCGGAACCGGAAGTGGACGTGGAAAGACAAGACAATGGCGAGGTAATCTGAGAACGAACGGCGCCAGAACCAGAACACAAAATGCACACCGAAAACAGTTGAATAAACGTGCTTGTCGTCTCCAGGACCCTCTGAGGCCCACCACCACCCCCTCGTCAAGGGTGTAAACGGCCTCTGCTGCTGTCCCTCGACTGGCGCTGGTCTATCTCATCGGTTGCCTGCCTCGACGAGGGCTGCCAGGAGATCATGGGACAGGACACGTGTGAGGGGTGTGCTTTTGCGAAGGTATGCACACGGAGCCCGGCATGATACCGCATCAACGGGCCAGCGGAATGGCGGAGCCGCTTCTAGCATGCCTTACGCATAGCATGCTATCTCACCATCTCATTATATCATCATCTACGCCCAGATGTTACTACATGGCCAGTGCCCGCCGGGTTCCGCCGAAGTCAACTGCTTCGCTTACTCCGCCGGCCCGTCTTGCATCATTGTTGCTCTTTTGGCGTGCCCGTGGCGAGCGAGGAGGAGGAGGAGGAGGAGGAGGAGGAGGAGGAGGAGGAGGAGGAGGAGGAGGAGGAGGAGGAGGTGTGGACAAGCTGCCTCTTTGAGAGGCGTCCTGGGTTCTCTCAGGAGGCCTTTTTGGGAGCGTGTTGCCAGAATGTTCGAAACTCCTTGGTGCTTCGTGGGGGTTCCTCGGGTGAGTATTTTAAGCATCTGGAGGCCTTGGGGGGCCTGCTGGCGGTCTCGGGGGTCATCTTTTGAGAACGGGCTCGACATGTAATTTCGGACTCCCCCTCTTGTGGCTATCTTGGCGGCCTCTGGAGCCTTCTTGCAGGGGCCTCTTGGACCAACTTGGGGACCTCTTGGGCAGTTCTGGGACCCTCTTGGGCTGTCTTGGCCCTCTTGGGCTGTCTTGGGGCGGTCTTGGGGGGTCTCTTGGGCCGTTCTGGGCAGTCGGCAACCCGAAATGGCGGTGACTGCCAAGTCCATCGAATAACCATGGGAAACCAACTGTTCCTGGCTCGCTGGGCCTTCTCGGGCGTCCTTTTGTAGCCTCGCTGGGGCGTTGTAGAGGCCTATTGCATGTCTGGGAGAGCTCTTGGACTGCCTCGAGCCTCGGGCCCCCTGGGCTCTCCTGGCGCCCTCGATGCAGGCTCCTGGAGCGCCCTTGGGAGCCCCGAGGGCGAGGCCCAGAAGAAACACACATCCCTGGGCCAGGAGGAGGAGGAGGAGGAGGAGGAGGAGGAGGAGGAGGAGGTTTCGCCTGGGGACCCCCGGGGCCCTCCGTGGATCTCACCCCGCCTCTGGCCCGGTGGGCCCGCGGAGTTGGAGTTGCTTTGGTTTGCCTGCGGACATCTGGTTTTCGGGGGACGAGATCCATACATTTCCATATATATATATACACACACACACTTTTCCCTGGCCAGGCCCATCCTGAACCCAGCAGCTGTGTACTAGCCCTTCTGGCCAAGCAGGGAGGCCGGGTTCAGGATTGGCGCGGCCCGGGAGCAGCGGATATGTATACAGCTCGTGGCCATATGGCTTGATCCCCGCAAGTCGTTCGGAGAAGAGCCGTCAAGCTACCCTCCTCCCTGCTGACCGTCTCGGGGTGCGGCAGGGAGACTTCTTTAGAAGGGAAGGGGGTGATGAGGGAGGAGGTGGAGGAGCGAGAGAGGAGGGAGGGAGGACGAGGATCGAGAGAGGGGAGGGCGGGAGGTGGAGGAGGAGGAGGGGGGGCGGAGGGAGGAGGAGGTAGGGACGGAGGTGGGGGCGAAGAGAGGAGGGAGGGAGGAGGGAGGGAGGCTTGCTCGCCGCCCAAAGGAGCTCATCGCCAGAACCCGGAGCGGCGCCCTGGACGCGGGGCGGCCCGACGGGGAGGCGGGGAGTTTTGCCTGCCGCGGGCGCGAGTCTTCGGCCGTGGGAGCTGCGGGGGGGGGGGCTTCGACTGGGCAGGTCACGGCGGAGGAGGAGGAGGAGGAGGAGGAGGAAGAGGAGGAAGAGCAGGAGCAGGAGCAGTTGCAGGAGCAGGAGCAGGAGAGGGCGGGGAGGACAGGCGGGGAATGCCAGGGTGCCGAGCCTAGATCTCAGAAGATACATCCTTCAGTCCGTTTGCCGCTTCCTGGTCCTGGCCATCCTGTGGTGTTGGGCTCTCGTCTTGAGTCAGCAGCGCCCCGCGTCTCACTCCTGCCGCCATCCTCCTTCTTAGATCCTTCTTCCCACCCCTGTCTCTCTCACACCCCAGGTCGGCTCACTCCTCACACGTGTCGTTGCTCCATAGGGAGCTCCCCTAAGGCCACAGCGGGTGCGCGCAGATGCGGCCGCCCCGCCCATTGTCGGCACACCCCTAACACGTGTCGTGGCCCCTATGGAGCTCCACCTACGGCCCCAGTGCGTGCGCCCAGTTGCGGCCGCCCCACCCCCGATCGGCACATCTCTCACACGCTTCGTGTCCGCATAGGGAGCTCCACCCACGGCCTCAGTGGATGCGCCCACATGCGGCTGCCCTGTCCACATCGGCACACCCTTCACACGTGTCGGGGAGCGCCACCTGGGGCCCACCTAGGGCCCCAGTGGGTGCGTCCACATGCAGCCGCTCACAGTGTCGTGCCCTCAAACGCTTCGTGGCCCCATAGGGAGCTCCACCTACGAGTTGGTGCGTCCAGCTCCGGCCGCCCCACCGCCTATCGGCAAGCCCCCCACAGGTGTCGTGACCCCAGAGGGGCCTCCACCTAAGACCCCAGCGGGTGAGTCCACACGCCGCTGCCCCAGCACAGCGCACCCTCACACGTGTCGTGGCCGCGCAGGGGGCTCCACCGCGCAGGGGGCTCCACCTCAGTCCCGAGTGACTGCGCCCACGTGCGGCCCCCGATCACACAGTTCGTGGTCCTATAGGGGGCTCCCTGCCCAATCCGTCCCAGCTGCCTGACGGCGTTCACACTAAAGAATTTCCTCGATCTCGGCCTCTGAGGCCCACTATCGCCGTCAAACTTGTAGTATACAATACGAAGATCCACCCTTTGGGGGAAAAGGTCGGAAAGAGCGCGTTCTGTGGTCGCTTGGAGGTGGAGGTGGCGGCGGCGGCGGGGACGACGATTTCCTTTCCTGAGCCGGCGCCGGCGCCTGCGGCGGCGGGCGGCGCCGGCGGCGGGAAGCGTCGACGAGGACGACTGTGGTGGTGGTGGTGGGTTGTGGTGGTGGTGGTGGCGGTGGTGGTGGTTGTGGTGGTGGTTGGTGATGTGGTGGTTTGTTGTGGTGGTGATGGTTGTGGTGGTGGGTGATGGTGGTGGTGGTTTGGTAGTGGTGTGATGATGGTGTGGGGGTGGTTTGTAGTGGTGGTGGTGGTGGGTTGTGGTGGTGGTGGTTTGGTGGTGGAGTGGTGGTGGTTTGTGGTGGTGATGGTGGTGGTGGGTTGTGGTGGTGGCGGTGGTTTGTGGAGGTGGTGGTGGTGGTGGTGGCGGTGGCGGTGGTGTGGTGGTTTGTGGGGGTAGTGGTGGGTTGTGCTGCTGGTAGTGGTGGTGGTTGTGGCGGTGGTGGTGGTGTTGTGGTAGATTGTGGTGGTGGTGGTATTGGTGGTGGGTTTTTGTGGTGATGGTGGTGATGGTGAGTTGTCGTGGTGGTGGTTGTGGTGGTGTGGTGGTGGTGTGGTGGTGACTTGTGATGGTGGTGGTGGGTTGTGATGGTGGCGGTGGTTTGTGGAAGTGGTGGTGGTGGTGGTGGTGGTGGCGGCGATGGTGGTGGTGATGGTGTGGTGGTTTGTGGTGGTGGCGGTGGGTTGCGCTGCTGGTAGTGGTGGTGATTGTGGCGGTGATGGTGGTGGTGTGGTAGATTGTGGTGGTGGTGGTGGTGGTGGTGGTACTGGTGGTGGGTTTTCGTGGTGGTGGTGGTGGTGGTGATTGTGAGTTGTGGTGGTGGTTGTGTCTTGGTGGTGGTGTGGTGGTGGGTGGTGTGGTGGTGGTTGGTGTGTGGTGGGTTGGTGGTGGTGGTGGTGGTGGTGGGTGGTGTGGTGGTGGTGGGTTGAGGCGGGTGGTGGTGGTGGTGTGGTGGTGGTGGTGGTGGTGGATTTGGTGGCGGTGGTGGTAGTGGTATGAATCGTCGCTGCGTCCCCGCCGTCGCCGGCTCCAGCGCCAGCGCTGCTGGCCGCCGCCAGCGCGGCGCCGGCGCCAATGGGGGGGGGCGGGTTGTTGAAACCCCCCCCCGGCACCCGAGGGGGGAGGGGAGGGGGGTTAACCCCCCCCCTCCCCCTTCTTGGGCTGCCTCTGGTCATCGTCGCTGCGTCCCCGCCGTCGGCGCTGCTGGCGGCCGACGGCGCTGGCGCCGGCGCCAGCGGGGGGGGGAAGGATTAGTGGGGGGGGTTCGGGAGGAGGGGTTTTTGGGGGGGAGGGGAGACCCCCTGGTTTTGATCGACGGCGCCGAGTGTTGGGGGGGGGGCACCCCCCGGTTCGAAACGCGCCGCCGCCGAATA